GAGTGCTCTCAGAACAAAACCTACACAGATTTGATATCCCAAGATTTCCTCAAGAGGAAAACCAGCTGGCTGCCCTGTCACCCTCCCTGGAAGCCGATACGCGTCAGCCATCAAGCCTCAGTCACACGGCCAGACCTTTCATTCAGGTTCATTAGCAGGAGTGCTACTAGTAGTAACTAGTAGAGCAGTATGACAGAAAAACACAGTAGTTTATGTTAGTATTTACCTGCCTTTTTCTCTCTCGCTCTCCAAATGTCAGGGTACATGCATACTGCAGAGAGAGAGAAAACAGCCCTCGAGGGGGCGTGGTCATGCTGCAGTCCTTTTCCCTCCTTTCTTCCATCCTGCCAGGTCATGGGCAGGCACATGTTTTTCAAGTCTCCGGAACTGGGATTCAAGCTGTGATCAGCCAGGTGGAATCACGCCCTTCTGCACATTGCTCAACCACCGCCCTAAGTGGCCAGCCCTGGGACGCACCTTCTGTGTTGTACAGCTCTGTGGGTTTTCACAAATGCATACTGTCATGTGTCTGCCAGCTTTTATCATGAATGAGTGTTAGATTCTGTTGAGTACCTTTTTTTATTATTTTTTTTTTTTTAAGTTTTGCTGTAGGGCACATGTGCTCACCAGAGAGAAGGAGACAGAAAGAGGGAAATTAAGAAATCACCCTCCTGGGGGATGGCCACAACACAATCCACTCTCAGGATTCTGGTTGCACATGCACCCAGCGTGATTTTCAAGCCGCCGGATCTGGGACTCAAACTGTACAGCCAACCACATGGTACACAGCCACTTTAACCTCCACGCCACCTGCTGGCTCCCATCCAGAGCTTATTTTAGCTACATAGGATGCAGCCACCTTAAACTCCACGCCCCCTGCTGGCTCCTGTCAAATGTTTTGCTTGCATCTGCTTATATGATCATTATATGTCCAGTTTGGGTATGAGGGTAATCCTGACCTCAGAATGAGTTAGAAATGTTCTTTCTGCTTCTGTTTTCTAGAACAGATTGTAGAGAACTGATATGTCATTGTTTCCTTAAATATAGAATTCCTCATCATTGTCCACGGCAGTCTCAGTATTTAATCCACTTTAAATCCACTCCACTAGACTATTTCCTAGAATATTTTCAGAATTAAGTTTTTTCTCTTGCCATGCTTCCCTCACCCCGTCCTGATTACGCCTCTAGATAGGAGCGTTTTGACTCCCACCTCCACCGTGACTTGGCTCTAGGCTATGAGTTTCCTGAGAGCGGAGGCCATGCCTACCTTGTTCGCTGTTCTACCTCTAGCACCTCGCACAGTGCCCAGAACATAGCATATGCTCAAGACACACTGCCCTACGTCTCTGCGTAGTTCTCAGCCGTTTTCAAGCACTCCTGTGGTCATCATCGGTTTTGGATCTCTTCGTTGTGCATATTAATCTGGGGAAGTAGCAGTCTTCTCCTATGATTCACGAGGGAAAGTGTTGCTCGGGGAGATGAAACGACTCACCTTAATTTACTCAGTTATTAAGTGAGAACAGCTGGGACGTTAGCCCAGGTGTTCTGATGTTAACGTTCAGGCGTTTTTCTCCCATACCTAACACGAGGTGCTTTCACGTTTACCTCACTTTATCGAGGGCAGCAGTGACAGGTGCAGTTACTCAGATACAACCAGGAAAAAATTAATTTTTTCAAAAGTTGCTCACGTTAGAAATTCTCAAAGACCTTCTTATTTATTTATTTATTTGGACAGGTTTTTGCTATAGGGCGTGTGCACTTGCCAGAAAGACAGAGAGAGACAGAGAGCGAGATATCCCCCCCCCCCGGGGGAATGACCATGCCGCAATCCCTTCTCCTCCATTCTCCTCTCGGGATCTTGGGCACGCACGCACACGTGCCCGGCGAAAGTTTAAGCCACCGGGTCCAGGACTCGAGCCGCAGTCGACTACATGGGAGTCCAGCGACATAGCCATTACGCCAACTGCTGGTCCCTCAAAGACCTTCTTGACCTCCACATGTTTGTTCAGACTGAAGCCTGGGACCTGGATTGTGTGTTCCTATTCCATGGCCCTAAGGGGAGACGTAAGGAGTGTTTCTAAGGGACGGTTACTCTGTACGTTCTGCCTCCACTGTAGCAAAAGTAATTCTTGGCATCTGAGAAACCGTTGATGACTTTCTTACTGAGGGAATTAAAGCAGGCCGATGATTTATGCATTCTGCTGCTTAGGGCATCATTCATATTTTAAACTCAAAATTGTAATTTTAAGGCAATCTACATTCAGGATAACAGTGGGTACTAGACCACGATCAGGGAGAAAAGGCGTCACCACATCTTTCAGCACTGCGCTTTTAAACCAGTTATGTGGGGTACCTAAACGACCTTTTCCACGGTCTACAAACAAGGTAAAGAGAAACCTCAGCAGTTATTTGTTGCCAAAGAATCTAGCTGACAGCTTTGGGAGACAATGTGAAGAGCTCGTGGGCTGTGTGCGTGCTGTGCCGGAAGCCTTGAGCTCCCTTTTGCTTTCTATAATTTATATGTTGTCCCAGCATGAGGTAGTTTTCATGATTTTGCTTTTAAATTATGTATATGAAAGAGAATGTACGGATATAAATATAGAAGTGACCTATAAAGATTTCTTTTTTTCCAAGAAATTAACCTTTTAAGACCTCTTTATTCTCCAGCCCACCCTTGTCATGAACATCAGCCAGAACCGCATTAGCATATCGGGAGCACAGATTACAGTAGATATTATGATAGTGTTTCCATAATAAGATATTGCCCTATCTGTTGACACCTTGAAAAATAAGTGTACTTATCTGTTTTTTATGAGCAAGAGCAGGAGGGAAGGAAAGGTATTTTTGACAGGGTCTCGTTGCTCTTCATCCTCCCTGGCTCCTGGTTAGCCACAGGCGCACACCCCTAGGCCCCCATTTAGGTGGGGCGAGAACCAAACCCAGGCCTCCTGTGTGGCCAGAGCCGTCATACTGGAGCCCTCCTGCTTGCGCTTCCACTGCTGGCCCACTAAGTATTTTTTGAGAGCTTGATCAAAAGCGTAGTTAAGTGAAGATGAGAAGTCTTAGCATTGCTTGCTTGTTTGCTGGAAGGCACCCCTCATCGGGGTGTGGTCACACATAACCCATATTCCTCCCCTTCTCCACGCTGTCAGGATTTGGGGCACACAGACACACGTGCCCAGTGTGTTTTCTAAGCCACCGGGGCTGGGATTTAAACCGCAGTCTGCCGTGTGACCTCCTCAGGCTCCCGTAACCACTGAGTCACAGAGGTAGCCCAACACTCAACCATTTTTATGCAAAGGAAGAAAAAGAAGTTGTTCAGTGGACGTATGGCCTGAAGTGTTTCTCTAGTGAAGGGCTGTTCTGAGACTTCTCTGTTCTTGCCCTTTGTAAGTGGTCTCCTGAGCATATTTGACCGCTGTCTTTAGCTTAGTGAAATCATCTCTAGCAATGAGTTGGAAGGTTTCTGTTAATCTTAAGTGACCTGTTCAAGTCCAAGCTTGTAAGTCTGCTAATTAGCGCACACACACCTGGTTACTTTCTACCTTGGGTTTCTTCATACTGCAGCAGCCAAGGGCACCAGAGGAAACTGCATGGCACCGTCTCATGCTGCTCTAGACAGACCAACGTACTGACAGCCAATTAGTCATAGTTAGCAGCCACGCTCCTGAGTCCAGGGCCGGCATCAGAGCCCAGATGAGAAAAATCAGCAAATCCTGGGCTATCTTGTGCACGCTCTTTCTGCTTTCATAGCCATTTTTCTTTGTAAACTCAGTTACTTTGACGATACCCAGACTTTAGTAATGCTTACTCCCCAAGAAGTAACCAGAAATGTTGGGCCAGCAGGTGGCATGGGAGGTAAGGCAGCTGGGTCCCATGTAGCCTACTATGAGGTTCGAGTCCCTGACCTGACAGTTTGAAAAACACAAGGTGTGTGTTTGCATGCCCAAAACCCTGAGAATGAAGGAGAAGAGATTTCAACGTGGCCATCCACCCTGGTGGGTGATTTCTTGCCCTGTAGCAAAAACTAAAAAAATGTAACCAGAAATCTTATGTTTTCCAGCAAACATTAATCATTTAGGACCCTACATTTTCTAGCACAAACTTCTTATTTAGTTTACTTGCTTATACATCTGTACTTGGAGGACCAGTATAGTGTGTTCATTACAAATACGGCTTCTGAAATTCCTAAATCCAAATCCCAACCTATATGCCTAATCGTTCTGTGACTTAGAGAAGTTTACTTAACCTCTCAAAGCCTCAGTTTCTTCACCCATAAAAATTGTTGAGGGGGAGTCCTGTGTTGCACTGGTTAAGGGAGCCAGATCCCACATGGCAATCACGGTTTGTTTGAATCCCAGCAGCTTGAAATACACACCAGATGCACATGTGTGCATTCCCAAACGCTGATGGGGTGAAGATGGAGGAGAAGGGATTGTGGTATGGCTACACCCTGGAGAGGGGGCACTCGCTCACCCTCTTCCCATCTCCCTCTCACCCTCTCCCTCTGGGGATTATTTTGCTAAAGTTGTCAAAGGCATTCAGTGATATGGTCTAAAGAGCTTAGCACTGTACTTGGCAGTGCCAGTCGGCAGCTGCATCTCTCATTACTGTATAGACGGATCCCCCTATTGAGCAACAAAGAGTCATTTATGTCATGCATAATCTCACATTAGAGCAAAGGAGCAGATTTGACATACTCATTTATTGGCAATTTAAAATATAATTTTCAGTCTAGACAGAGATTTAGTAAAATGAGCACACAAATAGGCTGATAGAAATAAAGATCATATAATAAACTTTTGGTAGAATAATTTGTCAATATGTATCGATGGCCACAAAAACACTGTTTGAGTCTATAATTTCCTTTCTAGAACTCTCCTCTAAAGCAAAAGTCAGAGATTCAAACTCAGATTTGATATAGTTACTCGCATTTGATCGTAGTGGGTTTGGGGTTTCATAATAGAATTATAATTTTTCATAATTTTTTTTCTAACCAGGATCCAGTTTATGGAAAAGGAAAACTTGGAGAAATCCAGGGACTTATTCTGGGAATGTTAGATACCTTTAACTATGAACAAGTAAGTAAGCTACTTGCTGTATCTAAGTGTATCCTGAGGTAGAAAAGTTACTTATTTTGCACCTGTACTTTTTCTTTAAAAATTACCATCTCCTGGCCCTTTTAGTTCATGGAAGTTAGGTAGATTAAAGTGTGTGTACGTTTTACTTTTAAATTTCTTTTGACCTTAATTTACATACATGTGTACATACACGAACACACACATTCAAGAACATGGAATGCATTTAATTAATTTTTAAAATTTATCTTCAGACGAATACTTTTTTTTTTCAATAAAAGTATGAGAAACTTCCTGGAAAAAAATCACCGACTATAAAGCTATGACCTATGGAAAAGATGGATTGGTGGGACCAGGGGTTAGCGTAATGGCTATGTCGCTGGACTCCCATATAGTTGACCGCGGTTCGAGTCTCGGATCTGGTGGCTTAAACTCACGCCGGGCGTGTGTGTGTGTGCGTGCCCAAGGTCCCGAGAGGAGAATGGAGGAGAAGGGATTGCAGCGTGGCCATCCCCCCTGAGGAATGATTTCTCACTTTCTGTCTCTCTGTCTCTCTCTGTCTTTCTGGCAAGCGCATGCACCCTATAGCAAAAACCTCTCCAAAAAAAAAAAAAAAAAAAGATGGATTGGCATGAATATACAAAATTGCAAAGTAAAGTCAAATGAGCATTTTTGTAAAATATTCTGAAACAGATCATTGCCGCTATCCAAAAATGGTTATTTGTCTTCTCTTAACTCAAAGTTGCCTATAGCTCTAGTTCTCAGTGAGAGCCAGCTTGGTATATAGACATTTTTTTTCCCTTACTGTACTTCAGAGTGAAGCCACCTAGGAAAAGCGCCATTTAGGCGTGGAAGAAGCTGACTTTTTTTTTTAAAGAGCTGAGAGAAGAAAAGATGTGAGTGGCAGAGCTTTTCTTCGTGTTGGAACCACAGGCCTGTGCAGCATTGCCCAGGGAGGTTGATACTCTGTAAGCACAGGTTCCAGGGAGCAGAGCAAAGCTGAGTGCAACGCAGGGTACTTTTGCCAACTTCGGAACTGTGCAAGAAGAGGACAAGATGGCATTAGCTGGAAAGGATGAGAATAATTAGAGGATTAGAGCTAAACGTTAAAATAAAAAACAAGAAGAAGAAAGAAAGAAAGAAAAAAGAAAGAAAAGAGACAATAAAACATTTATATTTTAATTTTAAAAAGCAAAAAATGAAAACTGCGCTGTGTGCACGCACTGCACGAAAGCAGTATTTCACGCTCAAGTTCAGTAGTCATCTCAGAAGGGCCTGATTGTGCCTCTCCTAAGTGGGAGGAAGAAAGGCACAAATTAGCAAGATAAAGGAGGGGCTTGAGAGCCCAGAAAATAAATATTTTATTTATTTATTTATTTACTTATTTTTTATAAATTGAAAGACACAGAGAGAAAGAGACAGAGAGATGGAGAAAAGGATAAAGAGATTGCCCTACCACTCTAGAAATGAATCTGGATGGTGAAGTCAGCAGAATATCTTCAATTTCAGTACCTGAAAGCAATATTTCACAGCTCAAGTTCAGTAACCATCTCCTCTCTTTTTTTGTTTTAAGCAAGATAGAAATGTGGACCAGGAGTTGGCGTAATGGCTATGTTGCTGGACTCCCATGTAGTCGACCGCGGTTTGAGTCCCGAACCCAGTGGCTTAAACTCATGCCAGGTGCATGTACGTGCGTTGCCAAGATCCCGAGAGGAGAATGGAGAAGGGATTGCAGCATGGCCATCCTCCCTCAGGGATGATTTCTCACTTTCTCTCTCTCTCTCTCTGTCTTTCTGGCAAGGGCATGCCCCCTATAGCAAAAACCTCTCCAAAAAAAAAAAAAAAAAAGATGGATTGGCATGAATATACAAAATTGCAAAGTAAAGTCAAATGAGCATTTTTGTAAAATATTCTGAAACAGATCATTGCCGCTATCCAAAAATGGTTATTTGTCTTCTCTTAACTCAAAGTTGCCTATAGCTCTAGTTCTCAGTGAGAGCCAGCTTGGTATATAGACATTTTTTTTCCCTTACTGTACTTCAGAGTGAAGCCACCTAGGAAAAGCGCCATTTAGGCGTGGAAGAAGCTGACTTTTTTTTTTAAAGAGCTGAGAGAAGAAAAGATGTGAGTGGCAGAGCTTTTCTTCGTGTTGGAACCACAGGCCTGTGCAGCATTGCCCAGGGAGGTTGATACTCTGTAAGCACAGGTTCCAGGGAGCAGAGCAAAGCTGAGTGCAACGCAGGGTACTTTTGCCAACTTCGGAACTGTGCAAGAAGAGGACAAGATGGCATTAGCTGGAAAGGATGAGAATAATTAGAGGATTAGAGCTAAACGTTTGGTGTTGCAGGTCAAGTTAAGAACTAAGCTACGTAGCAAGGAGGGAGAGCAGAACTTAGTTCTGTGTTCTCTTTTGCAGTGTACAGAAAAGAACGCAACTGCATATCCAACAATATGTATGAATTTCGAGAACTAGTTATGGTAGGAAAACAGCGCTGGATACGCATGTTGAGCTTTAAGATGACAATGTGATAGCTGTGTCTAAGGCTATAGACATAACAAGCTCATCTCACTCCACGACCAACACAGAAGGCTGCTGTGGCCAGATGTGTAGGTGTTCTCCCCCACACATCAAGCCACAATCTGGACACCTGCTGGGGGTGAGTGAACCTCCAGTTCAACTCCTCCTCTTTTCTTTTTTCTTTTTTGAGAGGTTTTTGCTATAAGGGCTGGTGTGCTTGCCAGAAAGACAGAGAGACAGAAAGCGAGAAATCACTCCCCAGGGGGGAAGGCCACACCGCATTCCCTCCCTCATTCTCCTCTCGGGATTTTGGGCACTCACGCACACGCGCCTGGCGTGAGTTTAAGCCACCGGGTCCTGGACTCAAATCGCGGTCAACTACATGGGAGTCCAGTGACATAGCTATTATGCCAAATGCGGGTCCCCAACTCTTACTCTTTTCTACCTGGCTGCCCCACTTCCAGTACCAACCTCAAGCCTCAAGCTGTTTCACCTGTGCCTCTGACCAATGGCCTATAACTCAGGGATCCCATGTCCCCCTTCTTGAGTTTGAGAGTTAATCTGCTAAAGCAATTTGCAGAACTCAGAGAAAGACATTTACCGGTTTACTGTCAAGGCTGTTAGAAAGGGTACAGGTGAAGGGAGAGAGTGCAAGGCAGGTGGGGAGGGTGTGAAGCTTCCGTGCCCTCTCTGGGCAGGCCACCCGCCAGGGATCTCCGTGTGCAGCTATCTGGAAGGTCTCTAAACCCTGTGCCTGTGGGGTTTTATGGAGGCTGCATTACTTAGCCTCGACTGAGTACATCACTTGTTCCCAGTCTTTGGTGATGATCAACTCAACCTTCAACCACTCTCCTCTCTGGCGCTTTCAGCCTCAACCCTCTAGTTCTGGTTGGCCTTTTCAGTTACCAATCCCCTACCCTGAAGCTACCAGCTGTTGAACACCTGATTAGCCTAAAAAATATATTTTATTACTTTGGAGATTCTGAGGATTCTAGGAGTTGAATGCCTGGAAACAGGATGAAGACCAAAATATATTTTTCATAATATCACACTGTGGAAATGTCTCTATGTGACTTAATGGCATGTCACAGTATTGAGTAGATTTAAAGGACTTACAAGTGCTGACCAGGAAAATGTGATCTTTCTGCCTAAGGGGGATGAAAACTGAGTAATGGCCATTAGCTCTTCTAGTGAAAGGTTATTTGAAGCATTGCCATGAATGCAATTTGAATTAAAAAATCAGGATCCAGATTTCGCTATGTTCTTTGTTACAACACTGTAAACCATTTACAGAGAAGTTATTCTATAGAGGTAATAAATAGATTTGAGCTTGTCTAGTCACTCGAAAGCTATCAATGCTGAATTAGGTCACAGAATGTCAGAGCACACAGTTCTCAGTTGAAACTAGCCACAGCCTCGAGAATCTTCATGCATACACTCGGCATTGTTGTGCATATCGGGATCACTGCTCGAGGTTGGAAGATTTTGATGTTTGTTTCCTAAATTCTACCCCTTTATAGTGTATTCCAATTTCCATTTATAGCTGAAAACGAAACAAGTATTACTTCCCATTAATCTCCTCTCTTTAATACTATAATCTTTGGTTTTTGTTTGGTCTTTCATAGACCCTGCTGGAAACAACAACTAACCTTTTAAACCAGGATCTCCACTGGTCCCTGTGTAACCTGAGAGCTTCAGTCACGAGAGGCCTGAATCCCAAGCAGGATTACTGCTCCATATGTTTACAGCAGTACAAGAGACGGCAAGAAATGACCGAGGAGATTATTGTCTTTAGGTAAGAGAGGGAAGGAATGTTACCTGTCCGGGGCGTGTCATGCCTAGTGGTCACTCTAGCAGTGAGCAAGACCTTTCCTCTACACCGGGGTGAAGAGGGTGGAGGCTACAGTGCTCAGGCTGTAACTGAAAGCGGAGAAATAAGAGGAAAACGAAACGTGGCAAAGGGACAGAAAGATGCCGTGTTCAGACGGGAGTGCTGTTTTGCGAAAGCGTAATGAGGGAAGGTGTTTCTGAGGCAGTGTCATTGAGCAGAGTGAGCGGGTTGGAAGGGAAGGTGCTGAGGGTGTTTGGAGTCAGCGTACTAAGGGTAGGGCTAACTTGTGGCGTGTTGGATGTGGAGTGTGAGGGAGAAGTGAGGTCTCTGGCTTGAGCAACAGCCTCCACATGGTACTGCTCTCCACGCATGAGGAACAGCAAGCGTGAGGAACTGGGAAAATTAAGTTTTCTTACAGATGTTGGGTTTGAGATGGTTATTAGACCTCCAGACAGGAATGGCAGGTGGACAGACAGTCTAGTCAAAAATCTAGAAATGTTTGGGGGCTACAAATGTATATTTTGAAATCACCAGCTTTATCGCTGATATTTAATATTCAAACCACACTGACAGGGGAGAAAGGTGCAGTGAGGAGGTGCAGGGGTCTCATGAGCAGAGAGAGCTTGTCTGGAATGTGCTGTAGAGGCAGCAGGACTTGGGGGCCTTTCGTCCTCATCTTGACTTGGCCGCACGCCAACTCTGAGACTTTGGACAAGTTATTTAAACCTCTTTCTATCTTAGTTTCCTCATCCATAAATTGGAATCACAGTACACCTCCTAGGTATTTCACGAAATGTGAAGATTAAATGAGATCGCTCTGTAAGGCACTGGTAAGAATGCCTGGCAGTAGGAAGCACTGTGTATTAGCCATGCGGGAAAATTGGTAGGTTTGGCAGTTGGAAGGAGAAGTAGTTCTTATCACACAAAGAGCCTGTTCATTTAACAAATTTTTTTCTTTTCTAATTTTCTTTACTATTATTACTATTTTTAATTTGCTAGAAGGCACATGCATGCACGAGACAAAAAGTGAGAAAGTCCACCAGGTCCAAGACTCAAACTGTAGTCAGCCATGTGGGAGTCCAACACTTCAACCACCATGCTACCTGCTGGCTGCCATGTAACAAATATTTATTGAACACCTACTGTATGCCATCTACTGTTCAAAGGGGTAAGATATAGCATGAACCAAACAGAGGATCTGCCCTCATGGGGTTTACATTCTAGCGGCAGGAGCAAACAATGGACGAGTGAAATGCCAGGTAATAACCACTGTGGAAAAAATTAAACGTGTTAAGAGAGATACAGAGAGTTTGGAAATGCAGGAGATATTTTATGAAGTGTGGTCAGGGAAAACCTCATAGTAAGCTGACATTTGAACTGACAGTTTTTTTTTTTTTAATTAATAAAAATGGGACCAAAAGATGGTGTGGAAGTTAAGGCAGCTGGATTCCACATGGCCAACTGCATGGTTTGAATCCTAGACCCATCAGCTTAAACTGTGCTGGGCATGTGCACATATTCACAAAATCCCAGAGGAGAATGGAGGAGAAAGGATTGTGGCCTGGCCATCCCCTCTAAGGGGCAATTTCTTTCTCTTTTTCTAGCCTTTTAAATCTTTCCTTCCCTCTCTCTCTTTCCAGTGAGCACATGGACCTTATAGCAATGAAGAATAGAATGGAGTGGAATGGAATGGAATGGAGTGGAATGGAATGGAATGGAATAATTATATAAAAATAAAACATAGTTTAGGGACCAACAGTTAACGTAATGGCTATGGCTATGTCACTAGACTCCCATGTAGTTGACCGCAGTTCGAGTCCCGGACCCGGTGGCTTAAACTCACACTGGTGCATGTGCGTGCATGCCCAAGATCTTGAGAGGAGAATGGAGGAGAAGAAATTGCAGCGTGGCCATCACCCTGGGGGGTGATTGCTTGCTTTCTGTCTCTCTCTGTCTTTCTGGAGAGTGCACACGCCCTATAGCAAAAACCTCTCCAAAAAAAGAAAGGAAAAAATAATAAAACATAGTTTAGAGGAAAGAGACTGGGGGGAGCTACTAATTTATAAAGACTAGTCAGGAAAAGCCTCCTTGAGTAAGTGATATCTGAGCAGAGACCTGAAGGAAGAGACCATGTACCACCAGGCAGAACATCACCAAGTGCCAAGACCATGAGCCAAGAGCATTCTTGGCATACTAAGTAGTAAGTTTGGAAGAATGAGGGGCAGGAAATGATAGGAGAGGACTTCCGAAGAGGAAAAGAGGCCAAGTCATATAGGAACGGGGTCCTTATTAGGAATTAGACTTTTACTTTAAGATGAGAAGCCATTGGTGGCGTTGAGGATAGGGGTGGCATGAACTGGGTTTCACTCTGACTGCTCTGCTGAGAATGGACTAGAGAGTTCAGAGGATAGCAGAATGACCAGTCAGACTATTGCAGTAGACCATGGGAGACAGCCCAGGGTGATAGAAAGGAAGCAAAAAGCAGTAGGATTCTGGATATATTGTAAAGACAGAGCTGAAAGGATTTGTTTATAGATTGGATGTGGGATGTGAAAGAGAACAGTCAAGGATAACTCCAAAGGTTTTGGTCCAAGGAACTGGAAGAGTGGAGTGGAGTGGGGACCAGCAGTTAGCGTAATGGCTATGTCGCTGGACTCCCATGTAGTCGACCGCAGTTCGAGTCCCAGACCCAGTGGCTTAAACTCACGCCGGGTGCATGTGCGTGCGTGCCCAAGATCCCAAGAGGAGAATGGAGAAGGGATTGCGGCGTGGCCATCCCCCCTGCGGGGTGATTTCTCGCTTTCTGTCTCTCGGTCTCTCTGGCGAGTGCACGCGCCCTATAGCAAAAACCTCTCTTAAAAAAAAAAAGAGTGGAGTGGAGTCAGATGTTCATTTTGAACATGTTAAATTTAAGATGCCTTTTAGACATCTTCAGGAGAAATAAAGAAAAATCAGTTAAGGTGACTGACAATACTCAACTTTTGAGAGGTTTGTTTGGTAATTCAATGTAAGCAGTAGGGTCTTTCTTCGTAGGACTAGTGTGACAGTACTATGTCAATGACATTTTTGTAAAGTTTAATCAAATCCCAATTCTTCTCTTGAATTGGATGAGGTAGACCCATTCATGTCACTATCAAGCTACTTATAATTTTTTTTTCTTTTTTTTTTTCTTTTTTTTTTTTTTTTTGGGGGG